TCGTCGTCAGGCCACGTCACATCATTAGGATGTCGTGACCTCATTGGCCAGTTCGCCTACACTGACTGATGGGCTTCGCCCACCGTTCACTTCTACTTCTACTTCTATTACGAGAACCCCGATCTCCTCAACTCCGTGTTTTCCCTTCGCTACCTGCCCCTCCAACTCAACCGTTCGTGCACAACCCCGACCGGTGGATCTCCGCCTTTGCGGCCATGGCAATCGACGACCTCGCGTGCAACAAGGTCATCATATCCCAACTCGTCGCGATCTTGTTGCCCTAGACCATCAACACGGCGGCAACGTCACCAACGCGACCACCTTCGCACGTGTCATCCTCCGAACTTGTTTCGTCGCCAGGTTGATCCTCTGGTGCATCCAACCGTTCGTGCAAAGTCGCGCCCGGCAGCTCCTCGTCTTCGTGTGCGTCAACAGTGTCTGGTCCGCACTCGGGCCCATCAAGTTGCCAACCCCCTCGATCACGGTCAACGATCGTCTTGCTGGTGAAGTTGGACGTGGCTGCCATTTTTGTTGCTGCTATTGTTGTCCGGAGGGCAATTGCGAAATGAAAATGATTCCAGAACACGAGCTTCACTCGCGAGTGCCGTTCAACAGCAATTGTCCAAGGGCTGTCACCGCCATAAATACTTGTGGTACGGGCTTTCAACACCACAAGAACGCGTGGGAAGGGGGGGGGGGCTTGCAACGCCGCCCCCGACCACCTTGGCCACATTCAACACCACTAGAACGTGAGGAAGGGGCTTTCAACTACACAAGAACGCGTGGGAGGGCCAACATCGCCGGGGACGCAAGATGCACGCTGTTTATCTACACCCCGCCTTCGTGGTCAGTACCGTGTTGCGTATATAATTCAAGACACCTTTTATATTCAGGACACCTCCTTGAATAAATATATTTTGCCTTGTAAGATATATCAACTTGCACAAAAGCCCCTTCGCGCCTTAACAAACCTCTTATACCTAATAAACACTGTATAATCACATTAAATATTAATGTATAGAGACAAATTTAATTTTCGAAGGTTATTTGGCGCGCGTAGATGAGGCGCGTCCGTAGGCTCACTTTCCAAGCCATGGCTGACGATACAAGTGCAGTCCTCGCAAGACGAAAGTCGCCTGGTCGACCAGCCTTCAAGTACGGACGCAAGTCCATGCCAAAGCAGTTCAAGAACAAGATCGTAGACTACAAACACCGGCTGGAAGCGATAATCAAAGTGTCTGAGATTGGTATGTGTTCCTTTCTCGACACCTATCGTGCAGACGCAACCGCTACGGAGCGAGAAAGCACGAGAAAGAAGGTGTATGCATGGATGGCACGACGTCAGCATATTGAGGCAATGGCCAACAGCGCGTGTACGAGCTGGCAGAAGAGGAAGAATCTGGAGACGTCGGGGTTTTGGATGACTCTACACTGGGTGAGTTGTTCACGATCATGGCCATTGAGGATACCATTCATCCTGATCAAGATATTGACTGCTTTGATGAGGCTGACTCGTCCGAGCCGAATTAAGACAGATCAAAATATTCCCCATGCATTTGTATTCAATACTTTTGGTATTCTTCCTCTCATTCTTATTTGCCCTCGAAGATTTATTTCGTTTGACAACTGATATATATTGTTGCTTGATGCCTGGGCAATTTTGAATATATCAAAGTTTGTATGTCCTGAATAAATAAACCTGAACCCTTCCCAACGTCGGACAAATGTCGCCTGGGTGTCTGGAATAATATACACTACACGGTAGCCTCGAGACGCGCGCGATGGGTGGTAAGTTCATCTCGTACATCGTGTTCAGATCGGTTGCTCGTGCGCAGTATGTCACATGCACGATCTTTCCTGGCCACATCAACAATACCCATCACGATGTCTCGACAGCTGGCCAACAACGAACATCTTTATAAAGGTTTCCTGTGTCAGTTGCTGTGGTGGTCTCCTTAGTCAGAACACCCGGTTCTGTCGAGAACACCCCCACTACCTGTCCATCAGGTTGCAGGATGGTCCTGCAATGGAAGGAGGTGTTTTGTGTCTTCTAGAGGCTTTTCCTCATGTAGTAGTCAGTTGCAGCGAAGGCCACGTCACATCGTTAGGATGTCGTGACCTCATTGGCCAGTTGGTCTACACTGACGGATAGGGTTCGCCCACCGTTCACTCCTCACTTCTCTTCTCCTTTTACTCAAAAACCCCGATCTCCGCAACTCCGTGATTCTCCTCGCTACCTGTCCCTCCAACTGCCTTCAGGGGTACTGGAATGCAATCATTGAATCATTGCACTCATGGAGCCGAAGATTCTGGGGGTGGTCAAGTTCATCTTGGAATCCAAGTAAGGGATCGATGAAAGGGGTCATGTGAAGGTAGAGTCCTGCACGTGGGCGAGTTGGGTGTAAACCAATTGATTCCGAAAAAAAACGTGTATTGAAAATGGAGAGAAGCAATACACATTGGAAAAGCCACGGCAGGACTACCGACGTTTACCACAGCAGTAACTGGTCAGGGAAGCGTCGTTGTGCGGTTCCTTGTTGTGGGGCCACTGTGACGATCACATGGGAACTAATTAAGAGGAAGTTCAGGAGACTGAACTTCAGGGTCGGAAATTCTCGTCTTTACCAAGAGTAGCGCAAGATGGAAGGAAGTAAGTGAATCCCAACGTGCAGGATAAAGAGTGATTAGGATGTAGCTATCTAACATGAAGGTGTCTCACTAGAGGGACGTCAAGCGCCTCTAGGCTAAATGTTCCAAGTTTCAGAGCATAGTCATATGGTATCATGGAGGTAGCGAGTTCGGGCACGAAGTTGGATCCACGATCAGTCAGCACACACCTTTCCAGGACACCGAATTGGCAAAGAACTTCGTCGATCAAAACTCGAGCGAATGTGGACGTCTTCAAGTCCGGTACGGCAAAGGCTTCCACCCACCGAGTGAAGTACTACCTCTGTCCGGTTTTTATTGTCGCGATTCATATTTTCGTTTTCCGGTTTTGACTGTCGTGATTTCACATCATTGGACAAAATTGAAACGCATCTAATTACATTGGTTAAAAATACCCTGGTACTTAGAAGTCGGCAAGGCGAGCAG